CTGTCACCTCCTGCCATCGCTGTCACTGTCACCTCTGTCCCCTGCTGTGCGGGGACACTTGTGGGAGGGGTCCGAGGGGACACTGGGGACACGATGGCTGCTGGCCCAGGGACATGTCCCCAACCTCTCTATGGGGACAGGGGGGACCGCCTGTGCTCGGGGGGTTCTGAGGGGGGAAGGCTGAGTGCGAGGGGGGATTGGTCACGGGGGGTACGAGGGGGATTTGGGGGATTGGTCACGGGAGGGTTTTGGGATCGTTTGGGGGATTGGTCACGGGTGGGTTTGGGGGGATTTGGGGGAATTTGTCACTTGTAGGGTCGTGGGGCTCTGTCACGGGTTGGGTACGGGGGGATTTGGGGGATTTCTCATGGGGAGCTTTGGGGGGATTTGGGGAAATGTATCACTTGTAGGGTCGTGGGGCTGTGTCGTGGGTGGGTATGAGGGGATTTGGGGGATTCCTCACGGGTGGGTTTGGGGGGATTTGGGGGATTTATCATGGGCGAGGTTTGGGGCCGTGTCACGGGTGGGTACAGGGCGGATTTGGGGAAATTTGTCGTTTGTAGGGGCATGGGGCTGTGTCCCGAGTGGGGGACAGGGGGGATTTGGGGGATTTCTCATGAATGGATACGGGAAGATTTGGGGGATTTATCCCAGTCCGGGGCCCCACCCGCCTGGGGCAGCGTCCCGAGCGTGCCCGTGGGGTCGCGGCCATCCCGGAACTCCAGGAGGGGACAGGGAGGGGACAGGGAGGGGACAGAGTGACACGGAGCGGGCAGGGGCGGAGCCAGCGCGGTGGGCGTGGCCATGGCAGTGATTGATGTCCTTGTGTCCATATAAGGACATGGGCGTGCTATGGGCGTGGCATCAATGAGGAAGTGTTGCTGGTGGGCGTGGCCACGCGCCATAAATGGTCATGGGCGGGGCCGGCCGCGGCGATGGCGATGGCGGAGCTGTTCGGGGGTGTGGAGGGGTGAGGGCTCGGGACACGGGCTCGGGGGGATCCCCGGGGCTCCCCATCCCCCGGGGGGGCTGCACAGGGACACCGGGACCCCCTCCGTGATCCCCCATGGCCGCTCGGGGACCCCCATCCTCCGGGGGGCCAGGGGACAGGAGCCGGTCCCGGGGTCAGGAATCGATCCTGGGGGACAAGAGGCGATCCTGGGGTGCAGGAGCCGATTTTGGGGGACAGGAGCCAGTCCTGGGGTCAGGAGCCGATCTTGGACGGCAGGAGCCGATTTTGGGGGACAGGAACCGATCTTGGGGTGCAGGAGTCGATTCTGGGGGACAGGAGCCGGTCCTGGGGGGCAGGAGCCGGTCCTGGGGTGCAAGTGGCGATCTTAGGGGACAGGAGCCGATTTTGGGGGGTCCATGAGAGCCCCCCTTCCTCGGCTCCTGCCCCCCGACCCCTCCTGCCTTGCCCGGGGTGTGGGGCAGGGTGGGGGGGGGGCAGCACCCCCCATTTCAGAGCCCCCCGAGTGACCCCAAAGTGAGATCAGGGACGGGGGAGGGGGATGAGGGGACAATGTGGGGGTGCTGGCAGTGTCCCCCCCCATGCTCGGTGGGGTGTGGGGACAATGGGGTGGCTCTGGCAGTGTCCCCGATCTCCCCGCAGCGGGGGCACCCACTCGACGGCGGTGCTGGTGTCCGGAGATGGGCAAATCCTGGCCGAGACCGAGGGACCCTGCACCAACCACTGGGTGAGCTGGGGGACAGCCCCGAACCCCCCCGGGGGGCTGGGACACGGGGAGGGGGACAGGACACGGGGAGGGGGTTTGGGACACGGGGAGGGGGACACGGGGCTGTGTTTGGGACATGGGACTAAGTTTGGGACGTGGGGCAGGCTTTGGGACACGGGTTTTGGGACATGGGACAGAGTTTGGGACACAGAGCTGGGTTTGGGACACAGGGTTTGGGACATGGGGCAGGATTTGGGATACGGGATTTGGGACACAGAGCTGGGTTTGGGACACAGGGTTTGGGACATGGAACAGGGTTTGGGACACGGGGCTGGGTTTGGGACACGGGGCTGGGCTGTGTCTGGTTGTCCCCAAACTCGTGGACACTTTGGTGGGACGCAGCCACTGCAGACAGTGCCACCGTGTCCCCCTGCCCAAAAACCCCCCGGCTGGAGCCCTGGTGGCCTCGGGGTGTCCCCAACCCCCGTGTGTGGCCTCGGGGTGTCCCCAAGCCGTGTCCCTGTCGCAGCTGATCGGCTCCGAGCTGTGCCTGCAGAGGATCGAGCGCATGGTCAGCGAGGCCAAGAGCAAAGCGGGCGCCGACCCCGACGTGCCCCTGCGCTCCCTGGTGGGTCCCTGCTGTCCCCAAACCCCCCAGTGCCACCCCCAGTGCCCCCCTGCCCTGTCCCCAAACCCCCAGTGCCACCCCCTGGTGCCACCCTGGGGTGACAGGCCGAGGGGTTGATGGGACCCTGGGGTGACAGGACACGGGGGTGACAGGGTCCTGTTTGTCACAGGGGCTGTTCCTTAGCGGGGGTGACAGTGTTCCTGGTGTCACAGTGTCCCC